TCTACCTCTGCTACCGCCTCCTCAGGCGTCAGCGCCACCACATCCGCTGCTACCTCCTCCAACTTCTCTACAGGCATTGCCGCCAATTCCTCCGCTTTCTTCTCCTCCGCCTTCTCCTCATCCTCAAACGCCTCCTTCTCCACCTCTTTTTTCAAACTGTCTTTTACTTTTCTCATTATGTCTCTTCCTTCGACATCATGTGTCTCGACTTTAAGCTTTACTTTTTCTGTTTTATCATCTTGCTTTAGTATGTGGACTTCGTGTTTTGCAGTTATTTTTTGGCCTTCTTTTGCGTAATCCTCTTCTTGTGAACCTCCATCTATTTCTTCCTTTTGATTTTCCTCGTGCGTTATTTCAGGCAGCAATTTAGCAATCGGTCTCTCCATGGTTAATTCTTCGTTGTGGTTGCTTTCTTGTTCTGCTGCATATCTGCCGTCGATTTTGTGCTGGCTTAATTTTGCACCAAATGCCTTCGGTGTGTCTTCTAATTCGGCCGCAATCTCCTCTTTTATTGACTCTGTGAAAATCTTGTCTTCAGCTGTTATGAAGTCGGGTGCTCTGATGTAACCTTTAGCTGTCCTACCTCGTTTGTCGTTACTTGGGTGCTCCGTTGCCTGATTCTTGAACAGATTCCTTTCTGTGTCGGTATGGTCGACTACATCAAGTGTTTCTGAATCGTGGCTATCGATCGCGGTTTCGATAACAGACTTGTAGTCCCCACTTATTTGTGGTACAATCTGTGTATGATCTACTTCCTTAGCTAAATTAGTGAATTTTTTTATCCAGACAATTTTAAGTTGTTTACAAATTTAGAATCAATGCAACGTAAAAACGGGGGTAAAGGGGGAATGGGATGGAAAAAAAAGGAAGAATACAAGTTCATTTTACCGAAAATCGATACAACTTTAAACAAGGAACAGGCTATAGGATGTATCTGTGTGACAGCATTGCCTACCATGCATACATTAAATCTCCCAATTCACCTCTGACCTGTTTCGTCTGTTCAAATGGCACAATATTTGCACGAAACCTTAACCCACGTGACAAGGGTTAGCTATCGCATAAGTTACCACGTGAATGCGCAAGCATGCATCAATCACCAAGCTTGAGCTGCCATGCGAATCCTGTTGTCCTACGGCACTACTCTCAGTAGTTATCGCAGTTTACAAGTAAAGCTGACTCACACTCGCCGATCCCTCCATCCGCATAGACCTCATTCTCGGATATCTCGTCGGTAACCTCCCGCTCTGTGATGCGCTCGGTAATGCGTTGTGTGGTTATGCGCTTCTTAACCACTGTGCCATCAGGAAGGGTTTCCTCAACTTCTTCAGTCTATTTAAAGGCAAAAGATTTAAAGTACCCGTCAGTCCCAATCCGACATCTGCAGCTTGCAACCATTGGCTACGTGGAAATGGATCTAAGGCGCCATGTCTGAATTTTGGGCTTTAGTGAGTTGTGCTAGCTCAAGACCACCGCCTCCATTGGCGGATGTCACCTCTTCAGATAACCTGCACGTCCCTACAAATGCTCACGAATACGAATGGGACTTGGGAGCGTACGTGGCTACAATCTTGTAAACTATCGATCGATAAGTGCCCCATCATAACAGTGCTTCTGAATTGTTCATTTGGCGTACTCGTTTCACCAACATGTTCATAAATCTAACACAAGCCTTCAAGGTTTGCATCAGGGAAGGAAGTGGAGTAGCTCACGTGAACACTTTCTTCAGGCGGCTCGATGCTGTACTGGGCGCCGTCTTTGGCCGAAGTGGCATTGAAAACGGCCTCCTCCCAGTCGTGTGCCGAAAGAGCCTGTACGGTCTCGGCTGTGTGCACGCGTTGTTTGACGACCGTTCCATCGGGAAGAGTCTCCTCGGTTTCCTCGACGAGGAAGCCCTCTTCTGGCCGGCCTTGATGGACGTCGTGACCGGCCAGGCCCGTCGGAGACGGTGTTCCATCTGCAAGAAAGTCGCTAGCTGCTGCGGCCCTGTAGGCTGCCTCAAAGTCGTCCTCGGTGCTGTCTAGTTGTTCCAACGAGGGAACTCGCAACTCGTCGTCTAAGTCCACAAGGAAAACCAAACGTAAATTGCAGTGAAACCCACAAGTCTACTGTCCAATTTAATCATTTCAGATATTATTTGAGAGCCTTCAATTCTAAAACTTTTTATGAACACGCATCCACTTCAACGACTAGATCACCAGGAATCAAAATCGCATTTGCAAAACACAACTTACCGGCTTCAATGTGAAGGGTCTCAATGGGCTTAACCGGTCGGACGGCGGTTTGAACGGTACCGGAGGCAGGACGGGCCAATAACGGGCTAAATTCCGGCTTCGGCTCGCTTTGAACCGGTTCTATCGTATCTTCTGTGATGGATTTGTCTGTTTGGTCTGTGAGGGCGTGTAGAAAACGAGGAAACGAAATGAGACAATGTCAGAGTTTTTTTCTGGTGAAAGTTAATTGATAGAAGCCTGTCTTCACCATTCACAACCTCTCTGATGCATAACACCGGCGCAAGCACTACAAGGACCTAGGATATTTGTTACCGAGTTCTATGGGCGTTATTGAATTGCTACGCAAACACTAAAGCCTGGTTTCTTGTTGTTGAAAATCCTCACTCATCTTTCGCATCCACACGCACATGACCCAGGTCTTTAGAAGCGTCAATGTCCATAACTGGCATCCCCGACGTTACTAAGGTGCCAAAGATTCTAAACCCGAAGTAAGACCAGAATTTGGATCCGAGACGCATTTCGAATTACGTCAACACCTAAATGACACTGCTAATTATGGTATCTTTTTGGAGCCAACTATTGTTGATACATTGGAGATTTGGAGATTTGAGGGCTAGGAAGTTAAGGGAAACAAAATAGCGTAGACAGTCAAGAACAGGCACATCGAGGGAGAGCTGACCTGGGGGTTGGGAGACCACCGACACCAGTTCGACGTCTAAATCCAGACCTAGGGCCTCCGCCAGTTCCTGGGCCGCGATGTGTCGTGCCTCGGAGTCGGCGTGAGAGACTCCACGATCTGACGGGAATAGGTTCTTCCGTTTCAGGTTCTCGGAGGCAACAATGAATTCGTCCACAACTGGTTTGATGTCATCAGTCGGAAGGCTGAGATCGTCCTGCGTGGCAGGAGCCCCTACCACCATGGACGGGGGTCTTTCCAGACTAGCAGTTTTGAATTTGGACGGCGTGATGAAAGGCACTTCCTCGCCAGGCACCAAGCGGGCTGCGAGAAGAGCAGGAGAATCATCAAAGGTCTGTTTAATGAGTCATGATGACTCACGTCCGTCAACTCAGACACGTCTGGCCACATACTCACGTGCAGAACCTCCCCTGCCACCCGAAATCTACGCCCCCTGCCACGTTTGAGACTCTTTAAAATACGCGAACTTGAATGTACAACACAGCAGGTTAGAGTCATGTACTAAACGGTTATGACCCATTATCCTCCGTCTTCGTAATCTTCAAGCCCAACTGCTACCAAGATCAATTGAATGTGGCTTTGACACCTGGTGACTTCAACATGATCACCCTCCTCAATAAGGACCACAGTAGGTGTTCTAGGTAATGAATGCGGTATTAAGATTTACAGAAATTATGACGTTGACGGTGAATTAAGGTACTGCATTAAGGAGCCCAGAGCAACTAGACCGTTTCATGTGATACGGCCTGAAATCAACCTACAGAAAAGAAAACAGGGCGAAAAGGATGCGTGTACTCACGTGTTCCATCAACAGCGGTAGGTGGGGGCGTCTCATCCTTTGCTACTGCACTTGGGGATTCTGGTCCAATTGATTCGTCTAAAGGCATCATGGAAGCCTCACTTATTCACTGAAAGAAACTACCAATCCCTATCACCTGACTGAATAGCCTATCATGTGGAGGTTAGTGAAATGCATCAAGTTAAAACAAAGCGGTAAAATAACGAGAGCTTTGTTATTGGTTGGATGAACATCTATTGGCTATACTCTCATTCTGAGTTCCTTAATGCTATAGAAACCGTTTGAAAAGGACTGTTACTCGGGAGCCAGTCAGAATAGCGACTACATAGAGGGGATTCCTTTAGTCCAACATTGGATAAAGCCCACATGGAGCCCCCACTTATTCGATATATCCGTTGCACAAGACACAGGTTTGAAATTACCTGGAATTTCACCATTAACGAAAGACGCTGGTAACTGCGGCGGTGCGGCAACGTACGTCGGCTGCTGTGATTCTGGTGGCAGATGGTGTTGCTTGGTGATGACTTCAATCAGCTGAATGGGATGGGCCTCCGAGGGTGTCTTGGCCGAGGCTATCTCCTCGTCAATGTGGAGGACCTTGGAGGTAACCGGCTGAACACTTGACGTCTCCATTACGTCCTCCATGACCACGTCGATCGCACGCAATGCCTCAGTTAGTTGCGAAACTAAATGCATTAATGGAGATCTCAGTGTAAACAACAGGACACGTTTGGGAAGTCGTAGGTTTTGAGAATCGGTGAACATGTAACAAAGACCCGACTCACCCATTCCATCGGCAGTGGGGGTTCCAGTTGCCGCGCATCGCTGCATCCACAGAGCAAGCATGTGTTCACAACGCTCCCTATCGGCTTGGGAGTCAGTCCAGGTGGGAGCAATCGGCTCCTGCGCCACCATGGTGATGTCTTCCGACGACAAGCCAAGCGCCTCAGCAAGTTTCACCCAACGGTTGCCAACGCGGAGGGAGATTCCTCTAATGTCCAATTTCGGTTGCATCGCTTCTGTTAATACCTCCTCCGTGGTCGCAGCGTCTAGTCGAGACACAAAACGTACAGCTTATTGATTTTCACAATCCCCAGGAAGTGTGACGTAATTTTTTCTTCAAATACAAAGTTTAGATCCTTCAAAAATACCAACACAGTATTGACCCAGGGCTTTTCTTCGTTGAGGTGTCATCTTTTAGAGACTAGCGCAACTACTGCTTAACGAAAACCGTCTATCGCCTATGCATCCAGCTGTTGATACCATACACAACAATAGCAATGAGTAACCATCGCGCCAATGAGCAATTGACCTTGACCAAGCCAATTAACCGACAGAAAGGGAGTAGCAAACAGAGGATTAAAATGATGTTAAGAGATCTTACCTAGCCAGCGACCCTCAATCTTATCTCCAGGCATCCTGATTTCGAGCGCTGTGATTGGCTGTTGAGCGCTGACGCCTGCTTCGTTGATCTCGCCCGGGGTAGCTGAGGTCCCACGAGGTTCACAGTGGACACGAAAGTAACCCACGGGCGGTGCTACTGTGCCGGCCGGCTGACGCACTCGCACCGGATAGGTCAAACGGTTTTCTTGGAAGGCCTGCACGTCCAAACTAAGCTGACCCGCGTGCGCCGGATACGATGAGATGTCTCCCACCGTCTCTAACCAATAGGCCTTTGAGTCAATAACCTTGAAAATTGACAAAAAGGCGCGCTTTGTAATTTGGCAATGTATTTTGAGTCAAATTAACTGGAATCAGCCCAAACTCTCGGATATGAATGCAGTAATATATAGGATGACATCCAAACTTTCTTTCCTGTGAAACATGACAAGTAATCTTTTATTTCGATTAATTCCTTACCTCAGTTGGTGGGCCAATCGCCACTAACTGGAACTTCTCCTGCTGTTCAAGTGTCTTCTCGGGCACATCGTCGATGAGGCAGACGCAGCGGAGTTCCGCGTCTGCAGGGTGGAAAACTTTCCGTCGGAAACGAGAGCTCACCGCAGTGCCCGACGTTGACGCGTCAGTTGTAGCGGTTGCGGCGGCAGCAGCCTCATTCGCCTCCATCGCCTGGCGATCTTCGGGCAGACGAGCGTAGACCGCAAACCTGCCGACATAGGGTGGGATAATGCTCTCTCGATAGACTCTGCTTGCCAGTTCTGCAACGTCGTCGACTCCAGGAGCATCGACAAGCCAAAGTCTGATAAAAGGAGACAAGATAACCGTGGTTTTTGGTGAGTGGATGTTCGTGACTCGGCACTTGTGTAGACAGACGGAGAGTAACTAACCTAGCGGAGACGGTGGTTGTGAAGGAAATGCAGTCCTTGTGGCGGGTCATTGCTGTAGATCCAGTGATGTCCTCCCAAGTGGCCGGAGTGCATCCGGCGGTGATGGAACAGAGCAGATGGAGACTCAGTGGCAACGGCTCCGACTTGTGCGTCCCCTTGGGTGGTTGCCGGGGCAACGGGATGGTGACGGTGATCGGCTTGTGGAACTTGCGGCGACGTGGTTCCAGGGTCACCACGGGAGAGAAGAAGACTCGACTTCCAGCTACCTTGTTGGCAACACTTTGCTGAATCACCTGTGCCTGTAGAGTAGTTAAGATTAGGTAAAGTCAAAGAATTACTGGCAGCTGACAACTTGGAGCATTTGCGTACCTGTAGGCCAACTTTGATTCTCTTCTGAAGAGCGCCTTTGGGGAAAACGGCCTGGACTTTTGGAGCAACAGTGGATGTGAGGACACCTCCGTCGGGTCCAACTAACGAAATTTCCTGTCGGAAGCGCGAAATAAGTGCGAAGAATTGCGGCACGTCAGACGTTAGAATCCTTTGGATTCGGCGTTCACGCACTGCATTTAGTGGCTCAATTTGACCTGAAGATGGAACACAATTTAAGCGGTTTATCGACAAAGTGGACATAAATATGTACGCCTTTACTGAAATCTATCCCATTCTATGACTAGGTATCAGCACCGCGCCTCATTCCCTTACCGAATGCCGATCCCAGAGCATCGCGCACTGACTGGTCTGTGGCTTCAAGTGGGTGGGACTTCCAGGAATCGCCATGGTCACATCGAAGTGTGATGACTTCCCGATCACGGCCCTGGATTGAAGCGAAATGCGGGACCTCGAGGAGGATGGGTCCGTCGAAGCGTACATTACTCGGTGACATTTCAATAATTCTAGAAGAGGGTCAGAAGATTCGCTTAGATGTCCACACCTTATGGCATCCTTCATGATGCATTCAATGCGCTGTCTCTTACCTGCAAGCAAACGCATCGCCGTCGTTTAGGTGGGGAAGTCGAGATACGCGATCTGGCCTCAAAAGTCGACAGATGATCCGAGTAGGACTGGAAATGGCGTGGGGCGGAATAAGGAATCGAAGGTCTGGTCGACGCTGAGCCTCAACTAATCCTCCCCGCGCATCAACAAGGAATGACACGAGGAAGCTGAAAGCACAAATGAAGTGTAGTCTTGTTTAGACATCAACTCAAGTTTTCGTCGGACATGGTGGGATGCCTAATATCACGAGTTACCCAACAAAGATGAAGTCGGTGGAAGGACAGAGAGTCAAACGTTTATTCGAGGACTTGACGAAGACGTGGTATTTGTTCATGGTCCTATGTGGGGTTTGTATGTGTGTGTGTGTATGTATTTATGGCTCGGATGTGTGAGTCATGTGCTAACATCGAGACCTAGGCGTGAGGATAATCCAAGATAAATGCACATGTGAATGAGGGGGGAGTTGAGGATTTCCGCGGCTGTCGCCACGCTGTGAGAAGGGGAGTTTTGTATCGGAGGCGAAGCGATCGGATTAAGATGTTGAATAAACACGATTCACAACAAACATATTCATCAAAAGCCCCTTGAAATTTAAGTCAAGATCATGGATGTGGAGCGATATGTGTGACTTCTAGAGTGTGATCCAAACTCCGACTACAAGGGCCGTACCTTAGAAGGTCAAGTATTAATACGTCCACGCTGAATCGTTGCGCTTGGTGAATGAAAAAAAGTTACGTCAACTTCATCAACGCTTCAAACTCCTCACTGGGCTGAGCATCTACGCTAGACTAACATTACGAACAGTGTAAAACCAAACTGAATGAGTTGGTGAAACAGCATCAAAAACGAAATCGCTAAATAGGCAAGAACTGTTTCATTATCTCCATGGACCATGGACGAACAGGCGCCATCACAGACGCGACCCAACTGTTCCACGAAGAGAATGAATCATCGAAAACGCGTCATTAGCAAGGTGAAAGGAGCAGCACAGCTTCTTACCCCGCCTTTACTGGTTTGCAAATCGCCTGAATGGGTTCTGCCTCGAAGCCCTCCCATTCGCTGGAGTCAGCTGGGGTCACTGCCGACATTTCGACGTCTGACTTCCCCATGGACATCGTTGACGCTGCCTACAGTAGAACGCACGATAACTCATTTACCAACACAGGCTTTTGAAGCAGCAGACCCTTCAAACATGTATAGATGAAAACGGAGGTGATTGCGGACGGGTAAAACATTGATCAACTTACCATGAGCTCGGAGACGCGTGTCTGTTCTTCCATTGTATTATCAAGAGCACTGATTCGGATCTTTGGCTCCCCTTGAACAAGACAAAAAGAAGAGAAAATGAGGGTAGCAAAGTGAGTTCGAGAACACAGACTGTGACTAGCCAATGAGATTTTGTGCACTTCACTATCGACTTGAAGCCCCTCATGGACTTGAGCACAACAGTAAACATGGCATGACAGCATAACGCCACAACACCCAATTTACTTGTGTCCGACAGCAAGCTTCGGGGCCGCTTTAACCGCCGAACAGGTAACGACGGTGAAGGCGCATTTTCGTCTTCAGAGTTGACTACTAACGAACACAAATTAGAAAGTAAAAATAACTGGAAACAGGTTAAATTTGTACCTTTCTGTGCACGAGTATACTCCATCTGTTCGCAAAGCAGATCAAACGAAGGTGACTTGAACAGGGATAGGTCACCGGCAGACACTACAACATTCAAATCACAACTACGATAATGGTGTCAGCAGAAACACATACTGCCTTTGGGAAAGAAGTAGTATTTTGGTAAATGGAGTTACCTTTTCTTTGTCCTCGGGGCTGGTGGCGCATGAGGACGGGAGTGGAAACAAGCTGATCACCTACGTGCAGAACAACATCGAGACAAACAGGTAACGACACAACAAGACACAACAACGAGAGCCACAAAAATCGATTCCTGAAGGCCACTCACTTTCATCCTCGCTTTCAATGGCAACACGGCTGAGCATCTGGGTGGGTGAGTCAAGAACCATGGAACCGTCGACAAGCGAGGGATCGCCTTGCGACAGTCCATCGGCGCTGGCTCCGTCAAGGCTAGGCGAATCCCAGTCCGACACGACCGTGGTAACGTGCGAAAGGCTCTCGAAGATGTTCAAGTAGTGCTGGCGCCGGGCTACCTGCGCCGCCGTCCATCCTTGCTGTAAGATTAATGCCAAGTGAAGAAATCGCTTAGCGCATACTACTTAAAACCTCATGGCCAGCCATGTTCTGTGTTGATTTATAACCTACTTAGGTTTGGGGGAATAAACCTTGAACATTTTTACAACACAACTGGTATATCTCAGAGACCATCTGAAAAGTCGGAGTTATCATGGGTTACCAGACATTTGTGGGTCCTTGTATGGCCTTTGTGAAACACGGCTCTACCTTGACCCGCCAATTCTGACTATTTTTGGTAGCCAACCAATCCAGCGTCGTGATTGGCTGACACTGATCGTAAGATTTGATTGGTTGGTTCCTTGAAAGTGACTTAAAATGTACTGCGCTTTTGTAATTCCACCAAGTTGACAGTAGGATCCGCTGTTATAAGAAATTCAACTTACTAAGTGTCGCGCTTGTGTGGCCAACTATGGGAAATTGTTCGTACACCCATCTGGCGATTCAACCATTGGTTCATTACAGGTTGACCCAGGCTGCGCTAATCAATAACCCATATTCGTCAGGCCTGATATGTTATGCACAGGGCACGACACATCTAATATACGATCGAGTCCCTTTAGCACTCTACATCATTTCTTCCATGGGTAATTTGGGCTTTATCGTGCAACAACACTTGTATCATGTAACCGACGATGCGGATTTCATAATCAGTGTTAATACGTTCTGGAAAAGAGGCAATTTCATTGCGATCGAGATGCGTATTGCAGAGACTGACTGCTTGCAATTCGTGACTCTCATGCCGAATCTAAATATCGCGGTGAATAAGGACGGGCAAATTGTAGCTGCTCCTTAAACGGGTCGCTTTACTTCCTCGCGTTTTTGTATTTCTGGCTCTTGAAACTCTGGTTCGATTGGACATAGTCCACTACAATCTTTCCGACAAAAATCCTCCCCAGGATTTGTGAAACGGATCAGCGACGACCGCCTGAACGACTAGACAGGTGGGTCTGTGTAGCTCCCCACGTAACTGGCGAGATATTGGCTGCTCTCCTCGATCATAAACAACATCAGAATCAATAGTTTCTGCGTGCTTAACATTGAAATCGATCATTTTAGTGACAACTGGTGTGCTTGTTCACGACAGCGTTATTGCCAGTGCCATCCGCATACTTCTTCTACAGCGAATCAGAGCTAAAATGCGACATCACCCACCAGATTCACAGAAAGAGCAGTTATAGTGAATTAAATGTTATCATCATGATAATAATGAGCGCGTGGTCAAGTCACGAGCTTGCATTAAACAAATTTGTACTCGAATAACTTTCCTTGGAAAGTCTACTCAAATCTACCCGATTCGAACAAAGCAGCCAATGGAATGCCTCCGACGCACTGAGGTTGCCATCCCGGTCACGCAACGCCTCATCGACATTCTAGAGACTCAGTAAAATACTGGCTCCAATTCGTTAAACTTATGGCAACGTGAGGGCGGTTCGCAGCGAGTGACTAAGTATAGCCTAGTCAGTTAAAAGCGTTACTAAGACGCTCGTCTCAGACTCCACAATGACCGTGCAAATAACCGGTAGTGCCGAGAGATACCTGCTCACGCACACGTTTTACGACTACACGCAGCTGTGAGCTGATGCGCCCAGTGTTGGCACACACGAGTAATGCCTATCTTGCCTCGCTCGGTTGTGATTGGTCGATTGTCTTTTTATTACACTCCCTATGCACACGCGACTAACTCACTCGAGCACGTCTTACTTTAAAACCAGTACACTAGCATGCACTCTTCGTTACCTGGTGAAACAGCAGATAATGGACTATTAGGGATTACCTTAGTGACCTTGAAGTCGTCGCCATCATCACTCATCCACAACCTAATTCAAAGAATTGGAAGTAAGCGCGACAGGAAACAACAACTGTTGATCTAGAGTCAACTGCACGAGTTCGCTGACGCCAACTTCCAAAACTCCCTTCGGGAATCAAAAAAATCACCCAACCGTCACCGTCTTCTTCACTGGCATCCAGGAAATGGCAGCACCCACTTACCATTGTTCGACTGTTCGGATCGCCTCCAGCGCTCACGAGCATATCCACAATCTGCGAGTGGCCTTGTTGGGCAGCGAGGTGAAGCGGTGTGCAGCCCATGATGGTTCGACTGTTGACAACGTCCATTTTGTTCGGCTGATCAAGCAGCAATTTGACAATAGCTGCGTTTCCCCGGTATGCGGCTTCGTGCAGTGGCGTGTAGCCATTTCTCGTCTGCAGCGCCTGGTTCGCGCCACGGTCAAGCAGGAACTCGACGACGTCGGCGCGATCGGCCTGTGCAGCCAAGTGCAGCGGAGTCAAGCCGTCCTGAAAAGTACGCAAACCTCCGTTACTACTTAATTTCGTGCACAGTAGTTTGATTGAGTATTCACCGACTGCGTGGCTAGTCAAGTTTGGTGGTATTTTTGTGCTTAGTTTGTTCTTCCGTCAAACCACCAGCAATTCCAGTGTTATACCAATATTATTGAAATAGAATACTCAATGCTTCATACTGTTGTAGGCCCCACACCAGGGCCACAGAACTAACTCTGGCCCGATTACGTTTTCCTGATAACCGCGATGAAGAAAAAGACCGGAGATAGGAGAGGACGTGGACACGATCGTTTACTTCAGAGCTCAACCACGTTGGTGTCGTGTCGTGCGTGGGGTTTGCGCGTGTGTATTTATACCTCGGATGTGTGAGTCATACATTGGCTAACCTAGAGACCTATGTGTGAGGGTAATCAAAGATAAAAATTCGTGTGAATGAGGGGGGAGTTGAGGATCAGCGCGGCTGGCGACATGCTGCGAAAAAAGGAGCCCTGTGTAGGGAGGTGGATTTATCAGATTAAGGGGTGTGAAAAAACACGATCCACAACAATAGAAACGTCCATATGACGATTCACATAAGGTTCAAATGCCAAAGGCAGTTAAATTCATTAGTACACAAACAACGAGTAAACCACGTAAAAAGTGTGAATGATTGATAAAGGTAGTTTGTTGGACCTCGCAACAACTCATAGCTCTCACCCACCACGAGTCATGAAGCGATACTTACATCAGCGCTAAGGGACACCTGAGCCGCGTAATCGTCCACTAGGGTTCTGACGATCGATATGTCACCTTCCAGAGCTGCGAGGTGTAGAGGTGAGTAGCCGTTTTGTGAGACGGCGTCGACATTTGCCTTGGCCTTGAGCAAACTGCTAGCTATTTCCGCGGTCTTCATTTTCGCTGCTATGTGAAGAGGTGTGAAGCCATTCTTACAAGTCGCTGTTACTTCTGCGCCGTGCGATATCAGCAAGTCGACCGCCTGAGTTAAATACAAAAGAAATACGTGATATAAATCCCCATTTCACAGTCTACGACAATAATTTTTTTTTAAACTTATCACTCCCCGAAAGTCGATTTGCAAAACTTATCTCATCAGCAGACGATCAGGTTCGATCAGGGTGTTTGTAATTGGAAATCAGTTAAGCAGCAAATCTTACCTCTGCGTAGCCGTAGTGAACAGCAACGTGGAGCGGTGTGAGTCCGTTTCTGGCTGCGGCGTTTACATTGGCTTTAGCTTCTTCCAGGAGGAATTTCATCGCATCGATTCGACCGTACTTGGCGGCTATGTGGAGGGCTGTGTAGCCCCGCTAAAACACCAAAAAATAGCGTTGGAATTTGAATTTTTAGTTGTATAAGAATTTTCGCCATTGTTCTGGCTCCATAAAGAATCCGTGTTAGTAGAATTACGGATAGTTGTGAGCGAAAACCCGACGTAAGTACAATTTCGGGTGTTTTTGAGCGCCAATTTGTGGATTCATATCGGGCGCCTCTTTTCTATTGGTCCAATCATCTGTTTGTGCGCAAATAGCCTGAAATGAACTCAAGGCCGCCCACGCCGCACGCACAAGTGGGCGCATCTGAACGCGCATCCGTCCTAGGGCTGGAGGGTAAAAACGCACGCCCGTACCTCCCCCACACTAACCGCTTCATTCACCCGGCCGTTCGGCTGCTTGTACTTTTACGAGCTCACCTCTAGCGGTCAACCACCACATTAGTCATGCACTATCAAGGAACATTCCGGTATCTAGCATACATTTGTGGGCGCTTCGTTTTTCGTCCCGCCGTTTTTTTTGTTAAATCAGTGATGATTCGTTTCAAAAACGGGACAATTTCACTGCGGCTGTTTATCTAACGAATCATACTACATCCGCCGACCGAGATTTCGGGTTGATTGGATGTGATTTTCGCGCATTTACGTGTGATTCATTTAACAAACCATCGGCAATCCCTCGTGCAGTTAAAAACGTCGATCCGTGGCAATTTGGTTGCCACCACCTTGCAGCCCTCTAGTTAACACGACCGCTTTTTTGCGTCTCGCCAACCAGGTGTCTTTGGGTGTGGATGAAAACAATAACCAATGAAATAGCGATGAGTCATTGACTCCGTCAGGTCAGTAAATATGCTTCGCTCACGCGCGATCGGCATCCATTATGTTCCACAACGTTTATTGCGGAAAACCCTCTCAATTCGTTAAACGCTGCCTAAAAAAGCTCAGTCCAAGGGTTCTTCCTTGAACCATTTAAGAAGTCCAGGTCATTCATTGGTTCTGTGTTGACCTTGCGTGAACCAGCCAATAGGTAATTGATTAAGCTGTCAAAATGATTTTCATCTCACAACTTCAACCACCAACTCTAACAAATAACAAACTAGCTACTGTTGCATTATCAGTAGTAATTATTAAAACCAGACAAAAGAGTGAATTTTGGACCAGAACTTCCTGCACAGCCTTGCCACTGTCACGTCTGTGAATGTTGAATGTCTAAAAATAACCACACTTGCAAAGAAGAGCCTTTTCTCTCGCCGTCAAAACTTTAAGTGACATAAAGTTGCCGACACATGGCTGACTGTTTTCTATGGATTCTGGGCTTTATGGGATAATAATTTGATTTATTGTGACCTACTTTTACAGGCAACTACGTTTCGGTTGGACAGGGAATTTACTTCAGTCCATGTATACAACTTTTTTTAAAATTCGTATTGACCGCCTTTATTCTATTGGTTCATTTTCCCTTGTTTGTGTCCGTAGTCAGTACATTAAAAGTTAATATGTACACGATCCAATAATGTATGTGCACGTCATCAAACCTTCGTCTTAATTCGCTCCGCCACCAATCGCCAACTTTTTTCAAAATCAGCTCGCATAATCTCGATCAACTCATCGCCCATACACCACTCCCCATCTTACAACCTCCTCGACCTTGTTAGCTAATCAAATTTGAGCAATATTTTATCTGATATATCCACAACTTTGGCGGTTCACAAATGGCAGTAATCTGTGGACTCAAATGTCGTGCTATCAATAATCATCTTAGTGATTTTAAGATGAGGTTATCATCTAGTGGTCACGCCAAGGTCATAACAGCTTGCCTGGCTGCTATTGGTCGGTTTTCTTCCCCTTCCTTACTCCAAATCCACTTTAGTAAAAGTTATTGTGGAAGGGATCTCATTGGGATTCATAATAAATTAGTGCTAGACAGGCAAGATAATGCTAAAACCAATTCGCTGGCACTTAACCCACTCGATTAGCAAAACTTTTACGGCCTACCACTGTTTTCCACACGATTACCTCTTCTTGAGAGTGGGAATTAGTGTTGTAGCTCCGTTCTGTGTTGGCAAATAGCAAGAGATCAATATCAAATCTGCGCAAGAAGCCTACCTTTGTCTTGGCGTTGACTTCAGAGCCGTTATCGATCAGAAGTCGAATAATGTCGACGTCGCCGACTTTAGCGGCGAGGTGGATCGGCTGGTGTCTGCCCCTGGCTTCCGACTTGACGTCCGCTTTCGCGTGTACCAGTAACTTCACAATTTCTGGATCCCTCAGTCGCAAGGCTATGTGGAGGGGTGTTGCGTTTTCCTAAAGAGTGAGCACAATTAATGAGCTAAGAAATCAATCAATTTCCCTCCACGCACGTATATGTCACTCGTCTACTGCTCGATACAGCGACCTTGACAACTGGCCAATAAAAACGTCACCTCGGGCGTTCGACACAGTGATCGGTTTAAAATGTAGATTTGCCGGATCTGGCGCACGACGCATTAAGTTCTTCTCAAAAAAACCCTTTTGAATTGTCAAATCAACTTTAAACTTCTTCTATTGATTAAATCCGACCACCATGGCAGTTATACTACTGGTCACTGCGCCACCTGAAATTAAGCGTTTTCGTTGGGTGATTTTCATTTGTTGTGTCGGAAAAATCATTGAATTTTCTGTGCAGCATTGTGTTTTACCAATTAAAGAAAGCCCAGCACTGATATTGGTAGCAAGATGATGAGATAACTCTGGTTTGATAACGAAGCTAAAATGTCCTATCGCGTCAAACCATGTGTTTCGTTGTGTGAGGTGAGAAATCGTGGCGTCTGATGGTGGTTTGTGACTGATTTGTGTGTGAGAATCGGAGCAGCAATAAAAAATCAACTGTGGTGCCATAATTGAACAAAGAGGTGTCATTTATAAGTGCTTTTTTTCTAAAACCACTCCTTTTAATGGGAATACTTCACGAAAGGGTCAAATTAGACCGGTGCTAGAAGTCAGAAATCTTATTGAGAGTTCCCAAGTAAGGCATTGCGCTTGTTGCACAGACATTTCTGCGATAAAATCCGTAATTTTCGTACCTTTTTTTCCAATCCATTCACATTTTAACTTAGTTTTTTGAAAGGAGAGTGCATTCGCTTGTCATCACAACAATCAAACGCCGATCCTTTGCTAATTACAGGACAGCGTTGCTGAACCAATCAGAATCTTTTAAAAAGTGGCAACTTGCTTGGCATTGGTTGGCTGGCAAAAGGTTTGCATTTCTTTGATTGACGCTTAACGCTTCATCTGCCTGGACGTTCATTTAAGCCAGCAGGAAAAACTTTCTGTTCATCCTTGGGAGTTAATCATCTCTAAGCGCAGGCACTAAGAGTGGAGCATTTTACGCTCTAATTCTTACTTCGTTAACCGTAATTTACTAATTGACCAGTTAACTGCAAGTCACATTTGATTGGTAAAAAAGAACGATTCATTACTTAACTTTTTGACAGTGCACGAATGGTTTAATTCGTTAAAAGATTTGTATTTCGTACAAATTGGTGCTCCCTAAAGCAGAAAAAAGTTTTTGCCGTGGAACTAAAGATAGTAACCACCAGCCTAAATGCGCTAAAAAAGTTTAGAAAGAGTAAACACAGAAGCGAGCTGGCGTTTTCAAAATGTTGGAATAAAATACATCCAGACTGTCACACGCGAAAGCTATTTTAGGTTTAAGAAGAAGAAAAATACTCTTGGAAAAAATCGACTTAAATACAAAGAAACTGACTAGTGGGAAATAATGTCATCATGCTAAGGAACAAATTTCATCGAACAGATTTTTACCAAGGACTTTGTTGTTGATGATCGTTATCACAACTCCTCTCAAGCATTTGGAAATTCCATGGACGATGCTGTAATTAAAATGCCGCATTCCAGATGATACCTAATTGCACAGCCACACAAATGCCGACGTTTTTGTTTCAAAAATTGGTGAAAATTGCCGCATAGGCGTGGGCTCTTTACCAAAAATTTCTTGGCAAACCTGGCTCTCCGTGTCAATTTGGACTTCAGCTGTTCGTCAAGAGGACCCTTAACACCTCTTAAAACGGCTGCTTCATTCAATCCCAGCACAGGTTTTTCTGCATCAGGCAGAACTGTTGTGGATGCTTGAATGATCTCACCGCTTCTGTGACACCATTTTATGGCCTGTTAATCTTTGTGAGAGTGTGATTTGGTCAATTTAATCGCTTGGTTTGCCACAAAAAATGTGCTGCTTACACCAAGGGAGCATGTGATGGTGTGGAGTCTTTGTTGGTTTTTAAGCCCATAGTGAACGGCGCAAAGAGACAGCTACGTGATTATGCAAATGAGTTTTACCACCAGTCCCGTTGTTTATAGTGAGTTGGTCAATTCCAGGCGCGTGCAGCAAGATCCGATCAAATTTCTTCCGAATTTAAGCTCCTTTTGACGTGGTCGCTAAGGTAATTTGACTATAAATGTTGCCATTCCTTCCAACTATTTGCGCATTTAAAACGACTTGGTAGCTGCGAGAAGCTACTGATGGCTTTACTGACGGTTTAGTGCGTAAATGACGAAATGGGTTTACTAATTTTTTTACCCAACCGATTCGCACCCTTCATTTAATTCCATGAATCGGGTTTTCGTAAACACATGACATGAAGTAGGGCCAAGTGAATTTAAACAAACGCACCATGGTTTTGGCGTCAATTGAAGCCGAGTGCTTGAGCAGGACCTTGATAGTTTCGACATGGCGTCCACGAACTGCGAAATGCAACGGCGTCTCTCCACGCATCGTGGTCTGATCCACATTGGCACCGCGCTGAAGGAGAAGACTAGCGGCCTCCGAGCAACCGACGAACGCCGCCGTGTGCAGAGGTGTTAGACCGGCCTGAAAGGAACCCAAAAACACTAAACGATCGATTTTCCCAATCGGAGTACCTAAAAGATTGGCTTATTTCCTAGGATCGCAGTTCCTCTGCTTAGATGTTGCTAGTTGGAATCAAGACATGCTAAGAGTGTTGCCTGTCAACTCAACCAGCTTATCGAATTCTGGTAACGTTCTAATGGTGGAAAGGTTCTCTAACTGTGGAAGCACCCGATCAACGATTACCTGGGTCGACGCGTCGACGGTGGCGCCTTTCTTGAGAAGAACCTCCACCACCTTCACGTTCATCTTCTTGCAGGCCACGTGAAGAGGAGTGAAACCGTTCTAAATCAGAGAGGAACATTATTCATCATTACCTCTACCAACTGGACGTTTTACAGGCGATTGGCTCCATTTAGAGGAATTGCAGAAAGAGGGGGGAAGTCACATTGGAAAGTAGAGGAGTGAGAGCACTTACAAAAGCTCGAATATTTGGATCGCAGTGGTGGTCAAGAAGAACCAAGGCCACTTTCGTGTTGCCGCAGTGCGCGGCGATATGCAGAGGTGTTAGGTAGTCCTAAATACAACACGGAACAATCAATGATCGCGATTACACAACACCGAGACGAATAACTGGGATTTCGCCAATTCCAATTTCACCTAACTCCAGGCATTTGCCATTGGCTACCACGGGGAAGGTAACCTTATATTCCGATAATATTAACATTCGTCTAGTTTATCCTGATTGGCCAACCCGATCGAGGGAATATCAATTTGAAAATTTAGCGGAAATTCACCCACTCCGTGTCAAAATTGGAGAAAATTCCTCAATGACAGACAATGTCCCAAAAATAGGTCTCATTTCAGTACGGGCGGTTGGCCGGTGAGAGGTCAGTGCAGCTGTCCCACGCAGCTGGAGATTTGTTTAAATACGCATTTTCAGCTGCCCCAAAAAACGAGCAACGCACTGAACCAAGCCAATCACGGACGCGACTTCTTACCATGGTTACGTCGTCTGGTGGCGATCCCCTCTTCAACAGGAGTCTCGCTGTGTCCGCGTGATCGCTTTGGGCGGCCATGTGAAGAGGCGAGAGGCCATTCTGAAATACAAAGACATCTCTTGTTCCAACTATGGACATGTTCAATTTAATGGTCTTATTATTAGTGCCATTACTGCACTGTAGGGGGAATAATTAGGGTCTATGGTTACGACTAGGGAGCTAAGGCAACCGCATATTTTGATTTTTAATTTTATCATCTATTTCTAAACCACATTTTTCGTGATTTTTGGTTGGTGGCTTTCTGGCTGTGCTGAAGTGCGTACTCAAAGGTAACATCCACAGTAAATGCAATTTTTAAGTTGGGGAAAGATGAACTCGTTTTCGACTAGGTGTCTGAGAGCACTAGGTCGTCCTTACCCTCGTCTTGGCTGTGATGCAGGCGCCAGCGTTGATGAGGACTTGCACGACGTTTGTGTGTCCAGAACGTGCGGCTGTGTGCATGGGTGTGAGTCCGTCCCTCGTTCTCGCATCCAACTGAGCCCCTTTATCGATCAGGAGCTGAGTCATCTCGCTTTTGCCCCACTTTGTGGCCAGGTGAAGTGGTGTAATATTGTCCTGTAATGGGAGGTTACATGGTCTTAGAGTATCACAATTTATGTTTCCATGTCTTTAGTTTCGTAATCATTATTTTTGCTGCTTGGCACTTAGAAATTGCTCCTGGCGCAAAACACCAAAATCGATCTCAAGTCGTCAAAATCCACCCACAAAGGGTTTTGCAGGCCCTAAAACACCTGTTAATCTGATGGTACATGGTCCGAACTAAACGTGCGTTTATGTTTGCATTGTGAAATGGAACACAAATGCCCAATCGACCGGCATCGCTTCATGGCATCCAACGTTTAATTTGATTGGTTGGTTGGTTGGTTCGACGTAGCTCTAAATATGTGACCTTTGCAATTTCCCCAAATTGACAGCAAAGCCTTCATTTCGATGCAAATTAGCCGTAGGTGTGGCTTGTACTTGTCTGCCCCGAATGAAGTGAAGATCGCTTTTTCCGTTTTTTCGCGTTTAAAATTGCATTTCTGAAATACTGATTGGTTGTGTTGAATGAATTTTTCTTCAAGTTATGCAAAATCCCCGAAATGGGGCTTCTTCAAATTAAGTATGCTAGCCAGAATGATGTTGATCAAGTCGAAATGCGAATTCTTCAGTACAGGGTTTTTCAAATCCTAAATCGAAAGAATTTTCGTGCCAACCAATCACAATAATCTCTGGCGAAATAATTTCACGAGGCAATGAAAACAGATGAAAATAGACTAAAGGACTTTCCGAATTCCTCCCTTTAATCTAGCCCTTTATTTTTTTTAAAAAAAATTCTGGATTTACTGCGACTGGAAGGAGCTTAACCGCGCAAAACAAACGTTTTCGCATTAATAAAATTGCAATCCCGTGTGAAAACGCAGGTTAGGGCATTCACTGTACCCGTTAAATAAATAAACAAGCAGTGGCAGTCAGCAATTTCGCCTCACTAATAAAAAATAGTTTTTTGTTAAAGTTCCTTCAATCTGGAAAAGCAAATGGGTCCCCAGCATGAAGTTAGGCATATTCTCTTCTCAGAATGCCCTATTGGTCTAGAAATAGCGACCAACTGACCTTCGCGCAGTAATTGACGTCGGCTCCGTTGCTGAGGAGAAGTCTGGCCACTTTCAGATTTCCGTAGCGTGCGGCGACGTGGAGTGGGGTAAAACCACGCTACATTGACAAAAAGGCAAAGACACAGCATGATAAAAATTCACCATTTTGTGACCGTTTGGACTGGAATTCCTTGGCCACTTGTAGATAGTGGTTTCAGTAACTGCGGGTGACGATCAGCTCTAAAGTTTTTTTGAGTGTTATTTAAAATTCACAAGAATCAAACTACGCACAGCTTGTCGGGAAAGGGCTTTTATTGGGAAGTCATTGTTTCAATTGTACGAGAACTCGTGATGCTGCGTTGAAGCTCGAGGCAATCATGATAGACACTGAAACGCCATCTTGTAGACTTGCGACAGCGATCGATAACCTCGAAAGACGACCTTGGAGGCAGTCAACATGCTTACTTGAGATAGGCTCGGGATAGTCTACGAAGGATCCTACCAGGCATCGATTCAAAAGATCGATTATTTGATTTCTGTTTTCACTACACGCGATGACATTCGATTGGTGGTCCGAATGTCGGTGATAATTAACGTTCCTTCGCATACTAACCCAGCCATTCCTCTCTTGAATGCTTTGTTTCTGCCAATGGCGCAGAAATCCTTTCAAAAGCTGTGTGCAGTTGGAGCATTTTTTTTGTTTTTTTTTTTAAATTTCCAAAATTTTGGTCTCGCCTATCTGATTCCCCAGCTCTGGGTCTAGAGGAATTCGGCATGTCACCCCGAACACGGGTTTTGGATTGTGCAGGACCACTTGCTAATCTGTCAAAACACCAACTTTTCAAGGAAATCAGCATCAATGACACCCAATTATGGCATATACTTTGTGCCAATAGGAGTTTTGGCAGTGAATGACGGTTGAAAAGCCGCCAACGGTGTTGTTTTAATCGCCCCTAGTCGTTTAAACAAACAACTAGCTCGCTTCGATGACCTGAGGCTTAAAGTGCATGCAGGATTTACACATTAAGGACCAGGGTGTGACATGCGCGATTACTACACACACACTCACACATTCGACAACGACAAATCGACACGCTTTTCATCTCCAGTTAAGCGTATGCAGAAAAAATTAGTAAGGCGAGGCGTTTTGGGGTTAATTTTCATCAACTGTGTTCCTTGCCCACCCAAATATTTCTTCGGACGGCCTAAAGATTCACCCTGAGTTGATATTCCACGTCTGTTGGGATACGTTTGAAGCAGTAGTTTTGGCTTGTCTCAACCTCGTCTTTGTTTTAAGCAACATTGAAAGGTGGACCTTAGGAGGTAAAAGTAATTTGCCTTATTCACGCGATTAAATGCAGTGAGCATATGATTTAATTTTAGTGTAAAGTAAACGGAAGCCGACCAAACCGGAGACTGTCGATTTTGCACACACCAGGCTAATCATATAGTCATTCATCTCCCTTTTCTCGAAAGTTAAAAAGTTGGACATTTTGAGTGAACAAATGCGTTTGCCTGAGAAACGCAACAAAGGCTCTAGTTGGCATTTTAACCCAGTGAATTATTACCGCGGGTTATTTTTTGTTGCAGCGAATTTCCCACTTTTGCCACAAGATTGCAGATGTGATTTTGTGTGCCTTTCCATGGTCAAAGTAGCCAATCACAAGCGCGCATTCGCTCATCCCCTTTCGCAAGATTTGCCCCTTGTTTTCCCAATCAACATGTGGGAATTTATCTTGCTAACAACAAATTTCTCCAAACTGGAATAACAAGTCGTTATTTTGGCCACGCTGAGGGCACGTAGGCAAAAATAGAACCGTTTTGAATGACCTTTTCACGACTTTATGACGTCACTCTGATCTGATCTCTGGATGGTGATTTAGAAATGCAAAAAAGAACGAGGACACCGTGCTTACCGTAGAGGCATGGTTGACGTTGATGTCGTTGTTTGCGAGAAGCAACGAGACGGCGTGGACGTCGTCCTTCTTGGCGGCGACGTGCAGCGCTGGCAGACGACCCTTTCCCCCGGCGTCTCGCTCCAGCAACAGCGACACCACACCGTCGTGGCAGAGTTGGAGCGCCACCGCTAACGGCGTGAACCCGTCCTGAGATGAGTCAGAGCAAAATGCGGTCAACTGGTTGATTATTTATTGGTTAGTTATGAAGAATCACGCAAGGGGTCAGGCTTAAGATACATATCATGTCATTGTGAAATCGACGTTTGTAGAAAGTGGCGTTATGAGTAATTGCTCTACCAAGGACATGCGCAATTTGATGGCTCGTAATGAACTGAAGGTGTTAAATGTCGCAAAGTTTGAACAGTGGAACTCCCTCAAATAATGGAAGTGAGCCGATTTAACAAAAAAAAGCAATGGCCTCTCTGTACAGTTCGTCAATAAACGGTTATAAGGGTACCTAATTTCGAATAAAATTTTTGACTTTTTTAAACCGTTTTGTTAATTTCGACAGATCTCATTTAAATATGCACCGATGCGGAAGACGTAATGCGAGACCCGGGGAGTTTGTTACTAGGCAAACTCCATGAATAATAGAATCACTCACGTCTGTTGCCAGGGCTTGGTCTGCTCCATGATTCAAGAGGTACTCAACAATGTCGGCGTGATTTTCTTGAGAAGACATGTACAGCGGTGTGAATCCATTCTACAAATCAAGGCGTGCATTGGTGCATTTCAAAATCACTAAACAGCAATCAACGCAAGCTAATCCACCTGAAGACGTGGTTTTGTAAAAGCTCAATTCTTTTCCGAACCCGTGAAGTGGCTTGTTGTGCCTAAGAGGGCGTCCAAGTGGGGCCTTTAAATCAAAGGTATTTACGAGTGAGCGGTGAATGCCGCATGGAATGCACCGTGTCGGCTTCAGGTTGACTAACACCGGTGATAAAAGGGAATGTTTTATGTTTTGTGTGAAGCACCAAAACACATACACACACACGCCTGGCATATCACGCGATGTGTGCTCCACCGTACCACCAGAACATACTACACTTCAGAATGTGTTGTGGCATTTGGAAGGTCCTCTTAATTCGGACCAAAATTTGTGCATTTTAAACAACAAACGTGGCCTTGAGTCGAGTCAAGTAATTCAGGGAGCGTGAAATTACGAAAAGTGCAGGCGGTTTCTGTGCACCCACTCGTGGACTGGTGTACCATGGCCCACAACTCGGGTTTTTAATCAACCCTCTTCTTGAAAAGTATTCATTGGTCAAGGTCCCAAGGTCATGGTATCCTGGGATTAAACTCCATTTAAATGAGAATATCCTTGCGTACTTTCTGGTGAAGCAAATTTACACAATCACGTTCGCTTTGACAGCGTATGGCTTAAATAATTCGAAGATAATTTTTCGTTTGACGCAAGTAAATTTTGCGTGAGTCCATTACCAAGCCTTGTGTCGTTGAAACAATTTCCCGTAGCCTGTTGATGAATGTTCTACGGTGTAGGTGTGTCTTAGGAACGTCTACTGGGTAGCAGTGACTGCAAGTTTAAAGGACGCAATGCTGCCTTAAGCGTGCGTCTGCTTTAGTTAGAATTTGATCAAAAGTTGCCTAGCCTCGTCTTTAATCTCCACTGACTACACACCCAGTACCTGTGATCTGGCGTTGACGTCGGCACCGCGTTCGACAAGGAGCTTGACGATGTCTGTTCGCCCCGCAAGACTGGCTATGTGGAGGGCAGTGTTGCCGCGGTTTGTCTTCGCGTCGATGGCCGCGTGGTGATCCAGCAGGAGACGCACCACCGCCAGGTGGCCTTCCTTTGAGGCCAGGTGCAGCGCATTCAATCCATTCTAGCAAAAGGTGCAAGTAAAAACACGATTATCGATTTGATCAAAATGGCACATTGTCTAAGCTTTCGAAAGATGCCACTTCTTGGTCCGCGCTAAATTAAAGGGGTTCTCATCGAATAATTGAGGCGCTAAAACCCCTAATAACCGATTGTGGAAATGTTGGGGTTCCAGGATTCCCCCAAGATGGCTCATCGCCGGTTTTCGTCGCTGTTTACACGAATCCTCTAACCACGCCACATCAGTGAGTGAGTCACCCACGGCATCCTACTGACACATCCGTGTTAATCCGCTTTCATCCTTCAGGTCAAGGTCATCATCGACTTATATAAGTGTTGACATTCTGACAGATCACTCGCTCTTTGGCCGGCGCGATTAAAGCTCCCTGCACGACCTTTGGTCTTGATCTGCATTTGCGTGGGAAGGTCGGTTCTAGCGTCGACAAGGGATCTGGTACCATCATCTGAGTTACGTGTAAGCATAACAGTTTTGGCGACGTAGATGAGATGAGTGACGAAGGAATGAAACAATTACTCGAGAGGCTAGTTTCGATGCTTGCAGATCGCCGGGCGTCTCAGGCCGCTCAAGCCAGCCCGCCTCCAATTGACTCCCTCGCCAGCAATATCTCGGAGTTCTCCTATGATCCGGAGAATGGGGTAACGTTCGAGTCCTGGTATCGGCATTGCGAAGACCTGTTCCAAGTCCACCTTGCGTCCCAAGACGACGCATGGAAGGTCAGACTCCTTACCCGCAAACTGGGCCCAGCAGAACTGAAGAGATACAAGGACACGATCCTCCCCAAGTCCTTACTCGACTTCACTTTTGGAGAAACCGTTCAAAATCTTAAGCGCATGTTTGGAGAACGCACCTCCTTGTTCAGTACCCGGTACCGGTGTCTCAAGCTCGCAATAGGAGAGTTTGACGACTTCCTTGACCATCTAGAAGTGGTCAATCGAGAGTGCGAGAAAAGTCAGTTCAAATCAATGACTGATGACCAGTTCAAAACTCTCATTCTCTTTTGCAGCCTTCAAATTCCCAAGTACACGGATCTGCGAACGCTGCTGCTACACCTGATCGATCGAAATCCTTCCATGACGCTGGACGATATCCGCGATGAATACCTACACTGGAGCAGCGTGCTGCAGGACTCCAGAATGGTCCAATCTGGTGGCCGCAGTGCTCCCGAAGTTGATGCAATCCAGCGTATCCACAAACCACCTTTCACTCCTGGTCCTCCCAGCTCTCGTCAGCCAAAGTTGGACAGAGAGTCAGGCGACACAAGTCGTCGAAGGAGGACAAGGGACATCCCTCCTTCCGCGTGCTGGCACTGTGGGGCCTGGCATTATGTCAAGTTCTGCCCATACAAGCAGCACCGATGCCAGCGATGCAAAGCCGTAGGCCACAAGGACGAATTCTGCCAATCGTCCCCGTCTAACAGGAGTGGACGGCACCCCCACCTCCACACAACGAAAATGTCCAAAGCCAAATCAGCCAGCCCCCACACTCTACAGCAGCAGAAGATGTATACAACCGTCCTCATCAATGGCCACCCAGTTCGTCTGCAGCTAGACACAGCCTAGGACGTTACCATCATCTCCATTGAGCGGTTTTCTCTTGGTTACGGGCAAACGTAACAGGAAAGTAATATTTTGGGCTCCTTTTTAACCCAAATCTAAACTGACACGATTTGCGAGTTTATTTTGCTTTAACAGGACCTTAGTGTTATGCCAGAACGATCTGCAGTCTGCTACATGTTAAAAAAGCCTGTTAAAACGTGTTGGCTAACTGTCGTGACCTTGGCAAAGAAATAAGTGATTGCTTCAGGGAGGTGTCTTACCAATGCAAATAATCTACGCACACAATTTGTACTGATTTGTGTAAACCTAAGCCTCTAACCTCTGTCCAGACACATCGATCATTCACCTCGTCCGGAAAATCCGTGTGTGTGTGTCTCGTCTGTTCATGTGAAATGGCAGCTGCCCCGACTAGTGTGACTAAGATGTCAGCGATGTAATGCAATTAAGGCGCTTCTTGCACGAAGACTGCTTGCTTTTCTTCTTGAAATGTTTTGAATGCCAAGTGATAGAGTGGGAATTAATGAAGCAAAATTCGATGCCAACTAACCGCTAGTACAACCTCTACAAACAGTTGTCAGTCCAGCTGACATGTTATTGAAATAGTGCATGGTCTCAGTACTTTAAAAGCCTTCCCAGGCAGCCAACAGTGCTAGATGTGTGTGGTTTCGCGACATATTCACCAGCTGTTTCTCACAACTCTAAAATTCACCTAATTGAAATTGAGGTAGGGTTGTGAAATCGCCATTCATTTGTCTTGACAATTAACTCCGCTGGTGTATCATTCTTAGCTAAATTCCACAAAGCATTCAATGTCCCTAGTCCAGAGCTACTCGAAGAAGTAATTTTGCCCTTTTTCAGTGATCCGTCGATCCAATAACAGTTGTCTCCCTTTTTTAGCCTCGTCGTTGTTTCCGCTGTCACGCTTGGGCAAAATTCCCCCCTCCATGTGTCAGCGACCAATAACTGTAGGCGGTATTGAATGAACGGCTGGCGTTTGGCTAAACGAGACACGCGTGCTCAAATTTGATTGGATGAACACAGTTAGGGGTAAATGTCGCCAGCATGATGATTCATCAGCGTCGGTTTGCAGATTAAGACTCAAGCCAACCCTCACAACTGAAAAATGCGATTTCGTCTGTTTGTTCACGGTTTTATTGCATCTGGAAAATCAGTAATCTTGTTTAAATCCATTGATGCGTTACTAGGTTACTTCCGCCCGTGCGTTTTAAGCAGTTTGGGCTAGTAAGCTTGTGTCTCCATCTGAATTGCTTCAGAAAACTTTGCTCACATAAGGTGTCAATTTAAAACTCCACTTCAACAAAGATTGTGTGCGATGGCATCTGTTTCTCCATCGCTCAAACGCTCTCTTAGAGTGACACAGATGCAACATTTCATGTGTTTTTTTCTCTTAAATTACATCTCGTTTGTTTAACTGCGTTGACTCGCTCATTCTGCGTCACTCAAAATTTGTTTGTGCTCCTTAAAAAACCAAGCAGCTGTGTTACAATTTTAAACCTATTGTCGTTCGCTTATTGTTTCCATTGCTGCTTTCACGTGATCGGCCTCAGTTTGTGCTCGTGAACAACGGACATGTGAGAGGTTGGTACACGGGACACCGACAGACACCTCTTTTTTCGAGATACGCACACCTCTTACAGCTACTCTCCTCTAAAACCAACCGTTTCCGAGTCTAAAAGGATCACGTCACTAAGCTAAAACGGCGACCAGCTAGTTCCGCGTCACACAACTGGCAAAAATGACTCATTTACCAACCAAACGAATCATCATCGTGGTTCAAAGCCAACACTTGCTACGCACATTTATGGCTACTGCATTTCGGACGTGCGTCAGAAAACCACCACGCTGCATACTCGTAGATGACCATGCTGATTTTTAAAAGCAGAAAAATCGTCTTTAGGTGTACGAGTTCTGTGGGCCAATCAGATTTGAACATGTGAAGGTTGCTGTGGTGAACTATTGTAGCGGAAAATCCGCCACATTCAAAAAGCGCATAGAAATTTTTTTCGCCAAATGCAGTGCCTTTAAACAGGCAAAGTAAACAGAAATGTCTTGGTAATTATAACAACTCCAGGTACTAAATAAAAAAATTGCTTGTTTTATTAGCTCGCAGCTGGCGTCTTGGGAGAAGCCTAATCCTGTCAGTTTGTCAAAAATGACATATCGAATTTACCAAACAGCAAAGTGATTAACTAGTGGAATCAGTAGCAGGCAGGCATCACGAGAACAAAGGAATCTGGAGATTTGAAATATGGCTTGACAGAACGTTTTTTGTTAGCTATTGTTTCCTCGAAGAGTTATACACGCCGAGATTGATTAATTGGGGGAAAAAGTATTTCTTGTGATTGAATTAACATAAATTGTGTTATTCAAGAGACAAACACCAATTAATGCTGCGTGAAAACAAGTAAGGTTTGTTGAAGATAAACATACGGCAGTGGTTTCGGGTTCGTTGTGTCAACAAATTTGAAATACCGCTTTGGAAGCCCACCCAAAGGTTAAAACAACACAGGGACATGGGATAATAAATGTTCATGTAAATGTTATGCATGGCTATTCCACTGCGCCAAGCGCTTATCAGAGAAGGGAGGCTGGACCCATTTAAAAACAGCAACTTAAGCGCGATACTGTTCTGAATCGTGTTCCTCTTTCGCAGCATGTCGCCAGCCGCGCGGATCCTCAACTCCCCCCTCATCCACATGGATATTTATCTTGGATTATCCTTACACCTAGGTATTGATTTTAGGTCATGTATGACTCACACATTCGAGGTATAAATACACACGCGCAAGCCCCACACACGGCACAACGACACCAACGAGGTTGAGCTCCGAAGTAAAGGGCTGTGTCCACGTCCTCTCCGGTCTTTTCCTTCATCGCGGGTATCAGGGAAGCGTAATCGGGCCAGGGTTAATTTCGTGGTCCCGGTATGGTTCAAGACCACATACCGGGGCCCACAACAATACCATGTTGGTAGAATAGTACTTTGTTTTAAGGGCTTACGTTACCGATTAGGTTCTCATGCTAATGCCTACTTTGAGAAGCATTCTCCAGGTGTATGTGTGGATTTATGCATTTACGGTGGCAGCAATTGTGTGGTGGGAGTGAGGGAAATCCCATGAAAAAACCTGCCTAAAAGCCCCACAGCAATTCTCACAGATTCCTTGGCGCGTGTTGTATCAGAACTACACCTGTCTAGATTTTGGTGGCTTGAACAATGTGCACTTCAGAGGCATCTTATTTATAATATACTAATTCAGTTTCACCAGAAGCTCTAGTTTCGATCAAACTTGGGTAGCAGATCCCTTGAATACTCCTGGTTGTGCCGTCGGAAGCTATGAGTTGCCAGATATGATCATGAATTGAAATCAGATCCAGTCACAACCTAATCAACCAATCACCGGAAAGGCTTAAGCTAAAACAACTACTGAACCTGTATTCCATTGACTTGAATCACTAATACCAAATCAGACTCACCGAACTGACGGCGTTAATTTCAACATTTGTGTTGAGAAATTCCGTGATCTTTCCTATATTTCCTGATCTGGCGGCGCGCAGAAAGCTTTGGTTAGTTTCGGCCTGTGTCCGCACGCGTTTACCACGGCGATGTCGAAGCGGTGTGAACGGCGTTAATTTCCATGTGCGATGACGTGGTCCAGTTTCGTCCGCGGTGGCGATCGACGTCATCGGCAGTGAGACATCGTCCAGGTCGATGGTGGTGGAGTTGCGTGAAAGGGCCGGGGGAAGGGTAAAACAACGACGGTCAGAATTTCGCTGAACCCGTGCCAAAAGGTCCTCCTTTTCCCACTGCCTAATCGTCTTTTTATTGGGGAAACACGAGAACAGTGACGAGCTGCGCTTCGGCCGGCGCTCGACTGTCCGGCCCCTCGTAATAAGCGGCTGGAAGCCCTCACGATTGGCCATTTTTTTTAGACTTAAAACCAATTAACCCGCAAAGTGGGATTGTGTGTGCGTGTATGCGTATTGGCACTTCCTTAAAGCGTTGTACCGCTAAAATGCCAATCAGCAGTCACGGCGGAGCTCAATTTTTCCGAGGTGTTCATTAGAGCACACGCGCGCGCATTGACACTGTGGAATTGAGCCAATCATGTGCGGTGTGCATACGATGGCTTAAACAGGCGTGACTCAAAAACGTGCAGTAAGCGACCTTGAGATCAAGGTGACTTCTAGATAACCTCGCCCCGCATTGGAGCTACTAATTTAATGCTCAAAATACGCATAATTATCATTAGGCGAATTAAAGACAGTTTACTACACGAAACATATCAACCCTCGACGACTTTGCGCAGGCAACGGCGAGAATCATAAAATGTGTAATAAGTTATAACTCATTTCTGGAAGCATTTACTCCCAGAGCTAGGTGTGAGAGCACACGTTTCTTTAGTAACAGGTGTCGAGTTTTATTACCTGCGTTTATTGTTATGTGACTTCCGCACACACTCAACTCTCTGTAACCACAGTCTGAAAATTTATTTAAAAGGAAATACGAGAGTTTAGCATTTGCCAGTACATGCTTTGCGGTATAATAACGATAGTTACTCACATGAGAACCAATAGCATTCGATGTTTCCACCATAATTGTAATTTTTTCGCATAGAGAGAGGGTTAGGCTTGGATGTCAGCCTTTTGGCGATGGCGTAGCCAAGGGAATCGATCGTGAGTAGCAAATGGATCGATGTTTGGATGAGTGCGATGCTACGATGGTGGCAAAGACCGCTAGGACACCAACTAGAGTGTCGAAACTGGCCTGACTGAACACACGTCTGGGCGCAACCACGGCGCTTGTTGGCAATGCGTAATACCCCTTGGATCGATAGCACAAGCGCCTGCAGAAACACGAACACGCCCCGGAAGGGATAGGGCCCAGCCTTTTTAGCACGCACGCGCGCACCACGCACCGGCACGCCTTGCCCACGTGCATACGTGTGTGCGTTCACATTCATGAACTGACCATACACGCTGCTTTGAAACCCTCCACATCTGCTGATCGAGCGTACTTTTCTTGGGTTTCCCCAGACCAATTCTGTTCCTCGACAAATTCTCTCAACGCCAAAGAATTTACTCTAAGGCAGGTTTAATCAGAAGACAAATGTTTCGGTGTGGCTAACCTAAGAGATGTGAAAAAACACATGGCGCCTATAACTCGTTCGTGCAGGTTACAGAGCGCGCAGATACTCGTGCATAGCTCATTCCCTGCATTGCTTCAAGTCAGTTTTATCAATCTTGGCGCATATTTTTAACAATCCGCTTTATTAAAGAGGATGAGGATTATCTAAATAAGATTTTCGTGTAATGATGAACTAAATTTCAGGTAAAAATTGCCCACAGTTTTGAATATTTTAGAAAAACGACTGAACACTTCAATCAATAAGCGTGCGTAGTAACGTAGGCAGCCTCGACTATAAGATAATTCCAACATCACCAGTAAAAATTGCCTTTCAAATTATCATTAAAAGCTGCTGAACAAAGTGATTTTATGTGAAGCTGTAGGGCTACCTAGAAAGCATTAAATTGAACTCTTGAAGCAAAAAAATCGATAATCATTTGAATTCCCTGTGCCACACGCACACAGAAATCTTAATTTAATCCAATAATGAGAAAATCACTATCAGAAAATAAACATAGGGGAGCATTTCTCTGTCGTGTTTTTGTGTTTTAAATTTCACATCAACTCAGTTCGATCGGCTACATTGTTTTGCCCCAAAATCGATTTACCTTACCTTTCCAATAAAGATACCGTTAAAGAATTTTTGATTGCATTTGGGGTTAATCAGTTGCGATTTTAACCAGGCTAGTATTACGTTTTCGTCAGCTACCATCAATGCTATTGAGCATTCACAATCCTAAAATCGATAGTTCACAAGGATTGACACCGTACCCTAAGCGGTGGGTCCATGAATCACCAAGATTTGACCAATCAAAATCAGGAGGGAGTCTTCTATACCCTGAGTATTGATCTGACAATGTGTGCATAAGTTGATCTGCATTTTGGCACCAAAAGGCCAGACTGGGAACCACCATAAGATCAGAAATGTGGGCGCAAGCATTTTACGAAAAAAAACCATGGATTTTGAATGCACAAATCATAAATTGACAAAACATTTTGTAGTTTTGAGCACCGATTGTCTTTACTGACCCGATTCAACTTCCTTTTTACAAAACAATTTTCTCCACACCTAAATTCTTTTCGAAAAGAACAAACAAGACATTACAGAAGCCAGTGCAGTCTCTGAACAGATGATCTTAACATGCAAGAAAATGAATTGAAACAAATGTTAGACTCCACAGTTCGTTTACCCATTTAGGTCGCCTTCTACGACAAGCAGTTTTGAAAAGGTTTACTGTTCCATTAAGTACCTTAATTATGGTGCATAAGAATGTCATGAATATAATTATCCTTGGCTTGGCGCTTCGAGGTCGGGGCATAAAATAGCACCGCAAAATTTTCAAATACACAATGCTACCAATCGGTTTTGGCAAAATCCAAGTAAATAAGAATTGACCAATTAGGATCGTCATTTCAAGGTCAAATAAAGGTTGGGCCAGTTTCGATTAAAAGGTCAGTTATCCTAGCTAGATTAATAAACCTGTCAATTAAAAATCTCTGGTATTAGTGTAGGGTCACTTCACTTGACGTGGTGAGATATCATGTTTTCTAATTAAAATTCGCTTTTTTGGGAGCATGATATCACCTTGAGTTGTCCTACATTTGAATAAGACTTTATTTAATCGATGATGGTGATTTAAAAATTATGTGAAATCGATTTTCACTAACTCCGCCTTGCTTTAAACTGTTGTTGCTTTTCCGAATTATCGTTGATTCCTTCAAAATTCAGAAGCGCAGTGGGTTTGAACACTTTTAACCCACGTGGACAATCTCAAACTGTTTAGCCTTCGTTTATCCAATCACCGCGGACAAACGTCGCGTTTACGAGCACCCAATAGGAGTCATTGACGAATCTGAAATTGTGTGGAAAATATCTGCAGTGCCTGGATGTGAAATATAGCCTCATGTTTTCGATTAAAAATAGCACTGCTAAATGGGAAGATTTAATTGTGCGTGTCGTGTAGGTGTAACCATGACACGACAGAACTTTGTCTTCTAAATCAGTACAATTTCGAATTCCCGATTCGCGCCAACACCACACACTGGAATTCATTAACTTGTGTGATTATTGAAAACTAATAAATATTCTTGAAATTCTTTGTTAGCAAAAGCAAAAAAGATGTTTATCGAAGCCTCTTGTGGCCGTTTTTCTCGGTAATTTGAAGAAATCATGGAACATGGATAATTATGCTGCTGGATTTTGGCAAGCAATCTAGATTTTGCGAAAGATCAGAACGATAAGATCTTACGCTAACTGGACACTGGATCGTAAAGACTCAAGATTGTGTAATTTGCCTATCATACAATTTTCAATTAAGTAACCGATTACCCGACTATGAAACGCTTTGGTCCTTTGAGTGGGCATCATCAACATTGGCGACGATTTATCCAGACAAAGATTTTTTCATAAGCATTTGTATTTTTTCGATGTGGCGTGTACTGAGTCACCAAGCTTGCCCAATGAGCATTTACTATGAATAGCATTCTTCGTTTATATAAATGATTCGTTTTAAAGAAAGAAACCATTTCATTGCGCCTTTAGTAAATACTGATTGGTCGCGCTGCGTAAATTTCCTTCAATTCATGCAGAAACCAAATGCGGAGATTCAGCCCGAGTCCAAAGCTGAACTATCACAATCTGATCTACTTATGGTCTTAATTTGGCCATCAACTTTTGTGGGCATATTAGAATGACAGTGACCACTAGGGAATGAAAAAAAAACATTTCAGAAATGCACATTTTAGGCCAATTTCTTATCCGAATTGGGTGCCATACATACAGTGAATTTTATCACCAGCTTTGGCAAAAGTAGTTAATGCTAACATCGACCTTAAACCAACAGCCGAAAACACGAAAGTCGCAACGCTGACAAGCCGAAATTGCTCTTTTGCAAACCTACAACCGCCAGGTGCCACCCAAAGTGCTCAAACTGCAGCAACGTGGCTCCTGAAAGGCGATGAATAACACCCAGGCAACCTTGATAAGTGTGTGTGTGTGTGTGGGGGAGGCTGCGAGTTCTGCTTTGGAGGGTGTTGGCGTGTTGCTTGCCAGCGCACTTTCAGTAAGACACACACATTCCACGAAACTCTTCGGAGAGATAATTATCCGCATCTAACGGGTTTTCGATCAGGGCCTTTTTTCGTGTTTTGTAAATCTGGACCCCAAGACAGATTAACTGCACTATCGCACACGTAGTGGTGATATCTACTAACGGGAACACAGCAAACGAAGAAGCTCTCAATATATTTCCATAAAATATCTGTTAAAGAGTTAAAAACAAATAGTCTTCAAAGTGATTCTTATCCGTTGTACGCCTGCTCATCTAAGCATCTAAAGGGAATGCTTCAGCGACCCGGTAAATTAGTTTAATTACTTCTCGTAAATAAGTCAGGCAAAAAAAGGTTTGTTTAATTTTTTAACATGTAAAATTTTTTGTCGAATTCGTGTAAATTAAAGATATTCTTACAGTATTGCCCGCCGCCAAAACCATTGTCATCTTGGTACTAAGAAAACCGGTATTTTCACGAAATCTTTACCTCTTCATAAATTGACCATTAGCATTCTTCCCATTTTTGAATACTCCACGCACACCATTTCAAATTTTCATACCGATCCCACGATATCTCATTGGCTCACTCATACTGGGATTATGTAATCGTTGCATTGATCGTCTCGATCACCAAAACCTATGCAATTGGTCGCATGGAGGTGATCGCCTGGCGAATTGGCCGTCCTTGGAGAAAATCGACAAATTTGAATTAGGACCACCAATTTTCCGATCGCATTTGCCTCGAA